TTTTTTAAAATTCAGGTCAAGGCTGCGAAATCCCAAAGGTGATATAAGGATGACGCCTCACTACAGTTTTTGTTTGGTCTATGAATAATTTAAGTTAAACTTTTTAATTCATTTAAAAGACACCTTCACCTGGCTGTATCTCCTTTTTCTTATATTTTTAAGAGTTCAAAATGTGTTAATTACATAAATATAATGTAACTTTCTCTGTAGCACTTCATGGATTTGATAAGCAACACATTTTAGGTGTTCATACAAAGCATAAAGGAAAAAAGCAATAACAGTATTTGCAGCTCCCAGTGTTTTCTTTTCCATGGAAACTGGGTCCAAACGGCTCTTGGGTGTTAAAGGTTGTGACCCTGGTGTAGACGATCCACTGAAGAATGGATTTAACAGACTTTTGCATCTTCAGAAAAGATGGGACGCTTTGTAAAATGTAAATAACAACCATGCTTACCAAATCTCATAATCATCAGATCTTATAAGACCACATAAAAAACTCATATTTCATACAAAATATCAGCTGAATTTGATGAAAGCAGTAAAATCTAAAAACAATAAATGTAATGGGGGCAGAAATGAAGTAGTGCTAAAAAGAAACAGCTGGACGAACATTTTTCAGCTAATTACGGTAAATTTTCTCACTTTAAGGATTTAATATGTTTTCTCTGGTTTATATAAAATATAATTTTATGATATTTGCAAGTCATTTGTCCCAACAGCTTTGGGTTCAATACAGAAAGTCCTGCAGAGCGTGTCACAGGCTGCAACACGTGCTGCTGCACTTCCTCCACACTAAACCGTCCATGTGACAGGAACCACCCCAACCTTAGCATCGCTGTCACGGTTGTGACTCTGAACATTGCTCTGAGTGAAAGGTGTGCATTAGTTAGTGCAGCGCGTGCAACTGGACGATGTGAAAAACTATCAGTGGATTATTTATAATGTTGTCAGTGAGCACGAGCTGTCGCCGCCTCTTCCTTTTAATAGCTTCTATATCACAGCGAAGCTCGGCGCCACAAAGCAAACACGGCGCACGTAACAGCCGGAGCCTTTGTGAAGACGCTGCACTCTGATGTTTTCGTTATGATTTTGTTTGCTCTCCCTGTAATGTTGCAGCGTTCGGCTTATTGTTGCAATCACATTGCTGCAGTTGGCTGAATAGTAGAATGAATGTGAGAATTCGAATAGCAGAATAAATCAGATCAGACTCCGTCGTCGGGGCTCGAGGTACCTGAACGGTAACATTGGGGCTGGTTCTCCAGTTTTCCACACAAAAGGAAAAAACAGAAAGAGATAGAGCTCCAAGTACAAAAACCCACCAGCCGTGTGCCAGTGTTTCAGATTTTTCTTCTGCTTTTTGCTGTGAATAGTCAAGTGAACACAGTCGGGGGGTGTAAAAGCCCCGGTCTTTGGACAGATTTAACGGATGCCGTGCTCTGCTGTGAAGCTGCCCTGCAGCTCTGATATGAACAAGCGTCAGGTCGAGCAATGAGAGCTCCGCCTGAACCTCTGATCTGGCTCGGGTCAGCGGGGACTCCCTCACAAAACAGCGCTGTCAGTGCCAAGCGCAGAGTTAGGCCGTGGCTGCAGGAGGTGAACAAATGGACGAGCTGTCGAGGATCACGCCGGCTGATGACATTATATGTGACAAAATGTAATAAGGCGGAGCTGCAAGGGGAGCAAAAGCTGGGAAAGCCATTAGATCTTGAGGACTGGAGACATTATGAGAAAGGAGTAAAAGCATGGGCGTAATTTAA